AAGTAGTTTGTCACTCTTGTGACAATTATCTGGGGGAAATGACAGGAGCCATTTGGTTTCCAGGGCTCAGAGCTATCTGGTTGCATAGGTCCTGCAGCCTCTTTTCAAGTCTGGTGGCAGCTCAGAAGCTGGTATTTCTGATGTGCTTGTTGCTTCTTTTGCAAAACACATTTTCTTTAACCTGGCTGCCTGTGTTTCTGATTGGGATGAGATTATATACATTTTTTCCCCCTTCCAAACATCCCAGGCTGGACTTGAACCAGTAATTGTTCTGTCTGTGGAGTATTTATTATTAGAAGCATTCACCAGGAGCCAGCTTACTCTGGCAAGCTGAACACAGAATGCACAATTACTCATTTCAGGTTGAGATAGATTTGAAGAATTGCTATGAGCATTGACCAAGTCACGTACAAAATTTACTTTTCCTGTACTTTCCTACAGCTATGAATAGAAAATCATTTTTACATTAAAAGATGGTGTAAGGTTTATGATGCTTTTTCATAGAAACAAGTTCTGACCATATTAGTTCTGTAACAGGAAATTCTCAGAATCCAGTTACTTGGCATAGCACTGAAAAGTTAAGGATCAAAGAATAAATGTGGTTTGTGTCAATGAATTGGTCCAGAAGAACACATATTAAAGTTTTGTTGGGGGTTTTACTGGTGTGGTTTTGATTTTGTATTGGGAGTTTTGTTGGGTTTTCGGTTTTTTTCAGTGCAAAATCTGATAGCAGAAGGAGAAGGCATAGAGCTCAGTGATAGAGCTGCTTAACTGCACAGATAGGAAAACTCCTGGATGGGAAGCAATTGTTTGCATGTTCTGGGAGAGTGCAGGCAGGTACTGACAGCTGAGAACTAGATGGCATTCTCAGCACACGTGGAAATGGCTTTTACAGAGGCAGTCCTGACCAGCTTGTAGAACTCTCCACAATCCTGGTATTCCTTGTTCCTTGGAAACTGACTCACACAGCAGTGCAGAAAGGAATGAAACAGACCACTCCTGCAAGTACAAGAATTTTTGTGTCTTTTACTAGGATGTTCTTGGATAGAAAATACCACCCTGGAAGCAGTGCACAGACTGTGAGGGTGCAGTATCCCAGGGATTCCCTTGTTGGAGACTCTTCTCAGAGGCACCAGCCTGAGCTGTTCCATCATTGCTGCACTGTCAGGACCCAGAACATTCCTCTGGCTGCCCTGGGTGATTTGGGACCCTGGCAGGGAGTCAAAGACACCTGTGCCTTCGATTTTAGCCCACGGAAACAATTACCAGCTTTGGGTGAAAATTTACAAGCCACAGAAATTTAAGTAGAATGATAGCTAATTTGTCACAAAGTGAAAAAGTAGAATTTTAGAGTTTTAAAATGGGGGTTCAAGAAGCAAAATAGAAGAATCTAGGCATATCCTGTCCTTCTCCTTCTTCTCATCCTTCATCTTCTGCTGGGATGGTGACACTTTTTGATTGGTTCAGAGTAGAGACAGACAGTCTGACATAGGTGATAGATATTAGAAAATTATTGTAAGTAAAATACACATAATTCGTAATACATAAAAATTAACACCACCCCAAAGGCAAACACTGTGCCACAACCCAACCTGCCAGACAAATCTCAGCAAGTCAGAAAAAGAATATAATAAATAAGAAAAAATAAACAACCTTGAAAAGCAGAACCGACAAATCTTGACTTCTTCTTTGGTTGTGGGGCTGGGAAAAAAACCCAACTTTCTAATACCTGGGGGTCATCTCAACCACAAAAACCCAAAACTGCACCAACTATTTGCAAAGGAAAATGACATCTGTGTGGAGTCTTGGTGTGCTTTTGGGTTGGGTCATGCAGCAAGAGTCTCATGGAAAGAGTGGAGCTTTCCATATCAGCAGGGAAAGGTGTGTAGTGGAGGGGAAATATGCAATTTGCTAGAATCAGTACAGTTACCTGCAGAAATTGCTGTGATGCATTCCCACCCCACAAAAGAGGCACTGTGGGAATCTGTAGGAATTACAGGGCAGCTGTAAAGGCTGTGGCCAGGCAGCCTCTGGGACAAGGTGCTGTTGTGGCACTGACCAGAGGCAAAGGCCAAATCTGACAGACTCCAGGACTATGTATAAGAAGGACTGCTCAACAGAAGAGGAGGGACAGTGGGGAAACTGGGAAGCAACCCAAAATGGTGATGGAGCAGGGACAATTGAGGTAAAACTGATTCTGCCAAAGAAATATTTAATCACACTGGCTGGATGGTTTCATGAAAAAGCCCCAGGGGGAACAGAGGCAATAGTTAACCAAGTACAAGAGGCATGGATGGCTCCAGAGAATCACAAACTCTCTTTGGAAGGTTTTTAGCAAACAGGAACTTAAATCCCAGTGGTGTCCAGGATGTCCTGGATGCATGTGAACACTTGATCCAGTATGGTTTTTTTATGCACAGAGTTCAAAGAGCAAAGTGTGCTCAGTAATATCCATCACTCCCCCTGAAGTGCTGGTACATCATATACAGCCTGGAAGTGAAGTGTTTATTAAGGCATTCCTTAGGAAATCCAAATTAGAACCTGTGCAGGAAGGTCCATGTACTGTTTTATTGTGTTCCTAGTTTGCTTTAAAGATTTAAGGAAAATTGAATATGCCATTCTCACATCAAACAAGCAGTGATGATCAACCAGTTGATAAATGTCTGGCTTCTGAGAATCCCTCATGATTTTTGTATTGGGGATCACTTAAGTATTTGTGCACAGGAATCTATAACCTTGGACTCTACCCTGTGGTAATCCTGTTAGTTTCAATTCTGTTAAGTTTGTTATTTGTAATAATGTTGTAGGACATTACTACAAATAAGGACACTTATTCAACACCTCAAAATTGTTTTCTTTTTCCTTTTACTATGCTAGCAGGTGAGTTTAATTGAGATAAAGGAAGAACTGTTGAGGAACACACCTGGTGCAGGTAGCTGGGTGTGGGAGCTGCAGGTTGTGCCCTGGGTGGCAGGAAATGTCTGGAGGCCCAGGCAAGGAGCCATGAAATGGTGCCACCCCTTTGCCAAAGAAAGGACATAGGGACATGTAGAGCTGGCTGGTTCATCCAGAGACTGTGGAGCCCAAATAAAACAGGAGAAGACTCCAGACCAAATATCCCCATTTACCAAGCAGTGTGTGCAAGGGACACCAAAAGCAAAAGAGGAACACAGCTTGTGAGGGCACAAAAGTCCAGTGGTGCCAGTGTGACTCCCAGAGTGGTTCCTGAATGCTCAAATATTAAAATTCCATTAGCCAGCTGTCTGCAAACTAAAAAGGGATGAGACAGAAGACCAGAGAATGAAACTGGAGATTTGCAGGCAGCAGAGGAGGGATGAACCTGCTTCCTTGAGCATGCTCCAACTTGGGGGAAGAGTTCCATACAAAAATGGGAAAATGGGCTGTAGAAGGATGGTTTAAGTGACTAACAGTTGGCATGATTTGTCATGGTTTTGTCAGTCCCAGGAAACCTCTTCTGTGTAATAACAAATAGAATATCTGTTGTGATCAGCATTGGGCTTGAAGACTGAAAAAAATTTGTCCCATTTGGTGTCACTTAGTCTGATGTGACATCAGTGCAGCAAGTGGCAGTTGCCCCACTTATGCTAATTTTTATGATGAAACTGCTTGGTAATATGAAGTCTACATGGCAAATCTATAAATAGATGAATTTTCCTAGGAAAATACTCTGTCTCCCAGAATTTGAATCAAATGATGACATCTGTCATCAGGAACTCAGTGTTATGTTCCTAACCTCTAAAGAACTTTTTGGCAAGTTTATTTAATAATTGATGGTTTTTGGTGACTGCATCTGTCATAAAAATTTTTGAATGGGTGAGATGAACACAGCTTTTTCTGGAATGGAGGTTTAAAATGTTTGATCTTAGGCAGTGGGCCCTTTAATAACCTGATATAAAAGGTTATAATAAGACCATTGAGCAGCAGATGTTATCAGTTTGCTGTGTGCCTGAGTGGTTTATTCAAGATAAAATCTGTTCTTCAAGAATAAGGGCTTGAGGAAGGTCCACTCTGAAAACTGACTTGGAATGGCCACATTTGATGGAAGGTGAATAACAAGCTCTGCACAAAATCAGAGAGAAGGGACAGGACATGCCTGATGGGACATTCTGCATGACCTCAGGGTCTGGTCACACTCTGCTCCAGGATCAGGGGATGACAACATACCCTTGTGGGTCAGGTGTAGGTTGAGTCTGATATCATAAGTACAACCTATGTTTAGTTCTTGCTTTTATTCAGATATATTTGTTTTGGCTGCCAGCAGACTACTCAAGCTTTTCAGTAGTGATTTATATTGATTTTGCAGGTACAGATACTTAAGCTGCAGTTAAATGTTCATTGTAAGCAAACCATAATGCTTGCCTGTTAAATTAGTGGAGGTTGAGCTGGTTATGATATCAGAGGGATTTCCTGGAGCTGGATTTAATATTCTGCTTCTTTCAGATTTGGAGAAACTCTATCAAGGAGATTGGTGGAAGATAATAACAGACTTTCCTTTCAAATTGTCCTGCTCCCCATTGTTTTGCTTTTACTGCTGAGATGTATTTGGGGAGGATTAGGATCACATAAACCCCTGGCAGTGTGGGTGTGCTTATCTGCTGTGTGTTCCTAATGATTTGTTGTCATAATTACCTGTGCTGATTCTCCTGCAGATATAGGTGGGTTTGGCACAGAAATTACTGGTGTGTCTGCCTGCTCTGTAATGTGTGTGAATGCAGTCTCTGGCAGTGTGGTGGTGTTTGTTTGGGGGTTTTGTTTGATTTCCTCTGGTCCTGTGCTGTTGCTTTCACTGTGCAGGCAGTCATAATTCAGTTGGCTGTGCAACTGGGTAGCCATAATAATGCTGCCAAGGTGCATCTGTTACTGTGTTTAATATGTATGTTCTGCTCAGTGCAGCCTCGTGTTAGCAGAGAATCTGGACCTTGATTGATTGCAGTCTGTCTTGATTGCAGCTTTTTTTGTTGTTTGTTTGTTTTTCCCAGTTACTCCTTAATGGCCATAAACCGTTCAAAGATGAAAAATAGCCCCAGCATCTTGCAACCTCACCTTTAGATGTTTTGATTGTTACAGAAGTGAAATGCTGTGAACATCAAGTCCAGAATTTCTCAGGTTAGTGCCATTCCCTGCCTATGAGAAGAATATGTCCCAGAGGAGGCTTTGGGCTGCAGCTGGTAGAATTTGAGCCTGCTCTCTGAGCAGGGTTTGCTGCAGCAGGGGCAGGCAGTGAAGGGAGATCTCTTCAAGGAATAATTCAGAACCTTATGAGCTCCTGCTGTCACACCTACCCTAGCAGTGAATGGCTTGTTTTTCATTGCTGTTTCAAGTTCAGCAGGGAGTATGGTGCATTCCAGAGCTGAGGGGCTGTCAGTCCAGTGCACTGTATTTTTTTTAAATCAACTTATTTTCCTGCACTGTTACACACATTCCTACCCTGATAACAGAATGCTACTGCATGGTACAAAGGTGTAAGGGCTTTTTTGTTTGTTTCAATGTGAGTGATTTCATTTTTATGGTCGGTATTGGAAGGAGATGATGTTGGAAAACAGTGAGGGACACTGAGCCCATGCAGCTACTGCTGTCATTAACTGAGCCCTAGTGCTGCTAAGAACTTGGAAACTCCACTGGTTTTTGTTTTCTTACATCCAAGCATTCTCAGTCCTACTTGTTATATTCTCATCTTATTCCCCAGCCCATCTGTTTCATTCATGTCCATATTGGGAACAGCTAAATTATGTTTAAATTCTACTTACAACTGTTTTTTGGTTGTTCCTCTCATGCATGTGTTGGACAGGGAGATTGACCTGATTTCTAGACTGCAGTTTATTGGGCTACTTCTCTTGGTTTTGCAGTTATCCAACTTTGTCTCACACACAAAAAAAGCTGTAGTTTACATGAACATTCCACAACACCTCTGGGATCCACTCTTAGGATGGATCATGCTCCTGAGCTGGTTCATGATGGAGAATTTGATCAAGTAAAGAGGGTCATGGGTTACAGCAGTCTAAATTGTTCTAATTTGTCGACTTCCAGAGGTAAGGATGTGTCCTGAAATGAAGTGGGATATTGCAATTCCTCCACAGTGAGATTAAGACCCTTAGTAAGGTGGTGAGAGACAGAATTCCATGGCTTTGTGCTGCTCTTTAATAACCACCTCATGTCTGATGAGTTTTGAGCTTGATGTGAGTGGGTTGTGTTTTGAGCACTCCAACTGTGATATACTGGGACTGAAGCAAGCCAACATAGGAAAGATCTCATATATTCATTAGGAATTCCTACAGGGTGTGCTTGGTATTTATAGGTTTAATTTTAAGAACGCTATAATCCTGTAAAATTAGGAAATATTTTTATTCCAATAAAGCTGTTTAAAATTTTGCCGGTATAAAAGACAACCTTGTAAAGATGTATAGATTGTGTATATGAGATTTCTTCCCATTGATTCTTTATTTTTTGTTCTCTGGCCACCTTGAAGAGCTAGAGAAGACATATATATTATATATACACTCCTGCTGAAAATACACTCCTCACCAAAACACAAGTCAGGCCGTAGTGAGTCCTACCACAGGTCCATCTAGGCCAGTATCCTGATCTGAGTTGGCTGGGAATGGGTATCTAGGATAGAGAATAAAAGCTGGAAAGGCATGTAAAATGACTCCTCAGACTGCTCTTGCCACTTTCAGTATACTGGTGAACATGGGGTTTTTGCATTTCTTTTATTAAAAATGCCAGGACTAAATTTTAAAAGCTATACAGTTTATATGTTTGTAAAGTTTCTGTAGTTGGCTGAAGGAGATATCGGTGTGGAAGAGCTGATTTCACACTTCTTCATGCTGAGGCTGGCCAAGAGATGGAATTTTGTCCTGCTGTTGTCCCTGTTTATTTCTCAGCTGCTTTCCTTTGTGCTTCACTTGCTATTTCTAGGAAAGCAGTTTTAGAGTGTCTTAAGCTTGCTCAACTCCCTTGCATGACTTCATGGGACAGGGATACAAGAATCTCCTGACATCTTGTCCATTTCCTACAGGAAAAGACAAACTGAAAGTTGTTGTTGTCACAGTGTACTTTAAATTGTATCTCTTTATATTCAATAGTCAGTACATTTCAAAGGTAAGGACAGTGGTGCTTGCGTAACATTTAACATGCAGAAATGATGCTTTCTGCTGTGTACTGGGAAGGAGAGGAGCTGCCTTACCACTCTCCCACTGACCATCTCTTGTCTCTTCCCTTTTGTGCTGGTGGTTTCTGCACAAAGTTGCCTTCATTCCCTCTTTTGCCCCTTGTGACCCTCCTGGGTTTTTAGTTTGATGTGTTGTGTCTTGCCATGGATGTAGGTAAAGCTTGGCCCATAGGCCTGAGCGTGTTTCTGCAGTATTTGTACTACCTCAGGAATAAAGTTTGGATTTGTGCTGCTACTGTGATCTAAACCAGCTTGGAATTCATTTCAGCCTGTAATTAAATTGGCATTTGCTTTGGCTGCATTACTCTGGTCATACCAGAGCATGTCTGTGAACTTAGTTCTGTAATTCCATGTTGCCAAATGGCTGCTATTCATGGCATTGCCCAGGAGGATTTTATTCTATTTCAAAGCCAGATTCCTTTAAATAACAGACATGATATCTTTGTGCACATGTATTAAAATTCTGATAAAGGAAAGTGGAATAGTGCACCAGGGAAGGTGATTGTAACTTGCCTGGCTTTGAGTGCTCGTGGACTTCCATGCTCAGTCTCTCCTCCAAAATTATTCCTTGGGATGATTTTCCACCAGTTACCAGACTGAAATCTTCACTAAAGTGATGTGAGGAGACCTTCAAGAGTAGCAAGAGGATACCTATTTCTGTGTCTTATTATTGTTTGTAATGTTAAAAGTTTGGGGCAGTCTATAATTAACTAAATTTTCTTTAAATACCAGAAGAAAAGCCACCGTTAAGGGAGGTTTTTGCAGGGGTTCTGTGTCCTGTGCCTCCTGAGGTGATGTGCAGGGAGGCTGTGTGTGTGCTCAGTGCTCACTGGTAGCTTGGGGATGGCTGGTTCGCTTGGGAATGGCATTCCACTTGCTCATTAGAAGAAGAAGCACAAATGTTGTGCTGCCAAACACAGCAGGTACTTTTTCTTTCCAGTTTCTCACTTCTGTACCCAATGACTGAAAGCACAGCTACTCCATACAGATGCAGGACTCTTTCAGTGAGAATTTGGAACATTTTGCAGCACCTTTCTTCTGAATCTCTTTAATACCCAGTTTTTTTCTTATTTCTCTTCTATTATTTTGATTATCCTTTAGCAGATGTTGAATTGAACATTTCTCAGCAGCCCTCTTGCTGAGTTGGTCTGCTGCTCTTTTTTTTTCATGTAGTTATCTTCTATTTCTGGAATGAAATCTTCTTTTGTGAAGATTTTTATAAGATCTCTGAGATCTTTTGTTCATGTTTTATTTGATCATCCTTTGTCTTGCACTTTTGACACACTTCTGTCTGCTGCTTCCTTGTGCACATTACATACTGGCCCCTTCACAGCCTTCCCTCTCAGTCCTTTTATTGCTAGGGTATGAGTTATTTTCTCTACTTGAGCTCATAATTAACTGGTAACTTTTTTTGCCTTTTTCTGAACCTGAAGAAATGTGACCATTGAGTGACCAGCTCTAGTATTTTTAAAAAAAATTGGTATTTATGTTGTTAATCTAAGTTTGCAGCCAGAGTGCTACAGTAACACTCATTTTTAGTAAGGAAGACATTAATATTTTTGGGGAATGACAATAGAATTGCCAAGATCCAATGCTTAGTAAAAGATACAGCCTAATTCTAAAGCCACTATCTGAGCAGGATCTTTTATTAGGCCTGTTTCATTCATTTTCTTCTAGGAAAGCCAAGTTAATGTTTCTGAAAGTCATTTTTGCTGAAGATTTATAACAAAAACCCCTTCAAATTAATATCAACATAGGCTATCTGGAGCTCCATATAAAGGCAGGAAAAAGGGGCAAGATGAATGCCACAGGCACAGGTTATCTCTCTGTATTTTAATTTTATCATCTTTACACTGTGTGTAGGGTATGAGGAGGACTGACATGCGCCTGGCTGGAGCCTTTTCTGACATTCCCCATCTGCTGTTCATTACAGTGATGTGTCTGTAACCCTGGCCCTGTACAGCCCTTCCACCCTGTTCACACTTTTCAGGCTTATTGAATGCAATACCTGGCAAACCTTTCTGATTTGTGTTGGATGCCATCCAACGCAAGCCATGAAAGCTGCTGAGGTAGCAGCTGCTCTGCTAAGGCAAGACTTCTCCACCTGGTAACAAGGAGAGCCCTTGCAACATTTTGGTGCTGGATTCTCCTTGCATTGTCAAGCCCAAGAGCTCTGGACTCCTGGTGGTTGTTGTCACCCTTTAGTTTGTGCTGCTGGCTGGGAGCAGGGTTGTGTCTGTCAGGTCATGCTTGGAGTGAGCTCAGGGGTTTGCAGGGTGAGTTTGCCCTCTTTCCCAAAAGTCTGGCTCTGATTTAATCCTAAACAAAACCTGTGAGAATGCAGCATGTACTTGCACTGCAACCTGTAATAATTCTGTCATTCATTCCCCCTGCCCCTTTTTCTTTCTCCCCCCCAGATAAATGGCTCATTTAAACTGGGAGCTACTGAAATACTCTCTGGCTGGCAAATGCAGTGCCTAGCAGCAGTCATCAAGGACGAACCAAACATGAGTGGTGGAGGGGAGCAGGTCGACATTCTCCCGACCAACTACGTGGTCAAAGATCGCTGGAAAGTGGTGAGTAGCTCTGGATTGAATGGCCCAAACAAACCTCCTCCTCCTGCAGTGGCACAGCAAATTCCCTGCTTAATCCTGGCCTCTGGCAAGCAGCACTCGAGTGGTGGGGTTTGACATGTCAGCAAGATACTGCAGGGAGAAGGGTTTTGGAGTGGTATTTTCAGAAGGCTAAATCTGCCAAGGATTTTTATGTAGGACTGAACTGTTGCAGCAGGCTGAATAGTGTTCTAGTAGAAAATTAGATTTCAAATTACTGTGGCAAAGAATACTACAGACATGACTATAAATAAATTGCGTTGCAATAAAGTGATGTAAAACCAAATGTTTTGGGTTGGAATGTCAGCTACTTCAAGAGTCAGAAAGTCCATGATTAGCTGGTTCAACTTCTGTGTAAATTTATTGAGGTACTTCTTAAAATTATATCATCATATATTAAGAGTTTTAGTTCTTATCTTTAGTTCTTGCACCTGTTGTGCAAGCTGGACAGGCTTTGCTTTTAAAATGCTGAAAAAACATTTGAATCCCATGTATAGCATTGTCTCAGTTTTTAACTGGGATTACCAGCATTCTGAATTGTTGAACTCCCAGCAGAAGCCTCAATAGTTTGATCTGCAAGTGATTTGCAGTAATAGCACTGAGTTGTTCTTTATGCTGACTGGCTGTGGGTACAGTGGCCCTGGGAGTTTTGCAGTGGAGTGTGTAGAGCAGAGGACTAAAAAAGCTTGGGACTCTGAATTCACTTCAGTTCCAGGCTGTGGATAGGTTATTTTTCAATAGCCCACTTCAGACAAAATATTATGCTTTCATTAGACCCAGCCCTGTTCTTGTTGCTCCCCATTGCCTCCCTTCACTTTGTTCCAGCATTCTCCTCAGCCTTCACTTTTCTGTCTGGCCAATTGCTGAGCAGCCTATTTATATTTAAGCAATTCAAACTGTTCCTCATTCTCCTGGCTTCTTGAGAGCAGATGGAGGAGCTCAGTTTTTTTTCTGTGATTAGACACCAAAATGGAGACAACCCCTTTGCCCCTCCCAAAGCTTTCTGTCACAGCTGAAGGAAAGCTTTGCTGAGCTCCTGCAGCTCTGGACTGGAGCTGTACTTGTTTTGGAGGGATCATCCATGGTTAACTGACATAGGAGACTTGAATCATGCCCTGTGCTTACCAGTGTGTCCGAAAATAATGATTGCAGCTTTTATCTGCCTCTCCCTGCACAAACAGAAATTTCCCCAGAGCCTGAATTTGGTCACATTGGTGCTTGTTCTTTGCCAAGCTGAATTCCAGCACTCTCCTGATGCCTTTGCTTCAGGTGCACGATTGCTAAAACTCATTCCTCCTTAACATGAGGAAGAACTTGTTCACAGTGAGGGTGGCAGAGGGTTGGAACAGCTGCCCAGGGAGACTGTGGAGTCTCCATCTCTGGAGACACTCCAAACCCACCTGGATGGGTTCTGGTGTCACCAGCTCCAGGCTGAGGCAGAGGGCTTGGGCTGGGTGATCTGCACAGGTCTCTTCCAATCCAAACAGTTCTGTGATCCTGGAATTCTCTGTACCTTGGCAATCTTTAGCTTGTACCATTCCCTATTCATCAATCCTGGAGTTGCTCCTTCGTAGAGAGGAGTGCTAAAACTTCTGTAAATGATGGGAGTATTTTTGTAACACAGTCTAAACAAAGTAACTTCGTTCTTGGCAACAGCAGAACTCTTACAAGCACCAAAACCTCCAAATAAAGTCTAAAATAAGCTCGGTGATGCTTACAGGGAACATTTCAAACCAATTTTTAAGTTGGTAGAGGCACTAAGTGTGGGATTTTGTGCTTTGTTGTTGCATGAATCTGTGACTGGGGCCCACTAGAAGCTCTGCCCACTAACTCTGCCTTAGAGAAGATAGAAATGTGCAGCTGTATTGTCAACAACAACTACCTCTAATTAGAGGAATAACCTTTTATGTTTTATAATGTCTCACAGTAGCCTTAAATACTGCAGTGAGTCCATTGCCCCACTTGAAGGCTCTGAGAAATGACATGACTTGCTAAAGGCTGTAAATAGCAATGAGAAATCCTTTTTTCCCAGCTCTGAGTAGAGCTGGGAATTTGACCATGTGCTAGCTGCCTTGTGCATTGTGAGCCTTGATTGAGCAGTCATTCCTCCCACCCCAAAAACAAGAGTGAAGTGCAGAGCCTTTCCTTTTAGGCCGCCCTTCTGTGCCTTTCCCTTTCTTTAAGCTGGTGTGGGACCAGTCAGAACCATGAGCTGTGGGGGGATTGGAATAATCTGGAAAAGCTCTGAAAATACATCTGGTGGCCCAAGGAAATGGACAGCATAGGATCAAGTGACCAAGGAATAAGGGAATGTACCTTAAAGTGAGCATACAGCTGTAGTATCAGGAGTAGCATTTTTTCCCTTTTGTCACAGATCTTCCTGAATCTAGCCCAGAACGTGCCAGCTGTATGGTCCAATCTTTGCTGTGGGTGATGGATCCTGCTCAAGCAGGTGTGTGGCATATTTATGTGATGCTGGGGTGCAACTGCCAGAAGGTCTTTTGTGTAATTTGTCCTCCCAGTGTCTCTGGCTGGGCATCTGCTTGAACCTTGTAGCTCTTAGTGCTGGCATACTTCCATTATTGAGCCAGTTTCTAATTTTAGATTGGTGTAATGTATTCCTTGAATTCCTTTCCTGCTTTCCTCCTTTCTGCTGGCTGACAAAGCTTTGACAAATGGAGATGCTGGTTCTCTGCAGTGAGCCTGTTCATTTTCCTGTCACTTGAAGTCAGTAAAGTTTGGCTGTCTGACAGCAGTAACATTTTTGTTCTTATTTATGAAAAAAGACATGGACAGGGTGTGCTTATGGTTTTTATCAAAACTTGTAGGTTTAGAAGTGTTCTTTATAGTCATCATTCTTTACTTGCAGATACTTTTGATGAAATTTAGGCAGTACTGGAACCACGTTTTGCCGAGTCCCCAGAGGGTCTTGATCCACGTGTGCTCTGAATGATGTGAACAGTTTTGTTCAGGGGAGGGAACAAAGTGAAATGTAACTTGTACTTGCTTTGAACCAGGTATGGATGTTAAAACTGAATTTTGATGTATCTCTTTATTTCACATAAATGCCTTTTACTGGGGATTCACAACTGACACTTATTAGCAAGAGAGAGTTGGCAGCTGCTGCACTGAGCTTTGAACACAAGTGATGACTCCTGTACATGTGTATGTTCTTTTCCTAGGTGCAATCCATGTTTTGTTTGCTTTCAGGTTTCTGAGCTTCTTGATCTGAAGCTCTCCAGTTTATTTGGGAAACCTTGCCAGAAACCTCACAAAACTTCAGTGGATTCTTTACCTTGTCCTGTTTAGAAAGGCAATTTATTATTCCAAGAGGGAACTTGGGACAAGGAAGGTTCTTTGTCAGACTTAGGGCCTGCTTTGGTCTGACTGTGAATGGCTTCAAGTGGGCTTTGACAGGTCTTCAGATGATTTAGAATGTGGCTGGCTGAGTTCTTGATTGGCTTCTCAGTTCATACCTGCTGTACATGAGTTCATTTCCCTTGAGATCAGACCCAGTCCTCTTAAGCAAGTGGAGTGGGCTCTGGAGAGTTTGGTGAGTAAAGGTCAGCTCTTCCTCAGCTCTTAAGTCAGATGAGACCTTCTGGCCTTTTCTGGACCAGGTAGCCCATTGAGCTGGGCTGCAGGAGTTGCAGGCTTGGCTGTACCAGTGCTCCTAGGAGACAGCCACAGTGGTCACTGTTTGACATTGTCAGATCTTTGAAGCCTGTGGATGACAGCCTTGACCCTGGCTGAGTTCACTAAAGGTTGCTGGCTTTCCATTTGGTCCTTTGCTCTGGATTTAGAGTGCTGCACATTTCTTTACATTGCCACCAATCCTGACACCAAACCATTCCTGCCCTGGTCCTGGAATGTTACCCTGGGAAGGTCTGGTCTTTATATGATATCCTTGGAAGGCAGACTTTGTTCAGAGCAGAGGTGTTGTATATGCTTCTGGAATAAAAGATGAAATTTGTATTCAAGCTTATTTTTGGCTGGGGTTGTGTGTTGCCTTGGTTTTCTGAACTGTGTCTGAAAATACTGATTTTCGCTTAGTGAGAAGGCTGTGTGTTGCTGTTGTTGTTTTGGGGGTTTTTTTTTAGTAAGCTCTGGAAGACTGTGCTACAAGAGCCTTTTTCAGGATGAATCAAAAATATTTCAGAATATTTAAAGGAGACTTCAAAGGGAGCCATTTGTGTGCTGTGTAACTCCTGATTGTCTGTGTCCAAGTCCAAATACCTACCTGTTTGATCAGATGAACTATTCACTTGATTCCACAGCCTGGAATAGACACCTGGACACCCAGCTCACACAGGGGCTCGTGCATTAGGTGGGATGAATCCTGCTGGTGTTGGCAGCCTGTATCCCAGTCAGAACAGTGAGTGAGCAGAAGAGAATATCCCCAAGGCAGTGAGGCTTAATATGAGTGATGACTCTTGACTTGATTACCACTTAGGTGATTCTAGTTAGATGCTTCATTCTCTTCCTTGACTTTGTGTTTGCAGTTTCATTACTGGTTTGGGGTTTTTTGGGTGGCATGTGCCCATCTCTCCTTTGTGTCCAACAGAAGGCTATCCCAAGTTCACCTAAGAAAGTGAGCTCCCATGGAGCACCCAGACAATGAGGCAATGGATGTGACATGAGTTCCTGACCTCAGAACAGCTTGCTCTGGACCAAAGCAAAGGAAATGGCTGCTGACGGCCTCATTGTTGCTGAAAAATCAAGGAGTGTGGCAGTGCTAGTGGTGATGTTGAATGGATGGTACCATCTGGTGTGCTGGGAAAAGTATGCCAGAGAATAATTTCCATAAGAGTGTGAGCAAGGATGCAAGGAAACAAAGGCAGCTTTGACAGCCTTTTATTGGCTGGAATGTGTGTATAAAATCAGTTTTCTCATTCAGCAGAAGCTTTGATCTTGATCTCGTGTGATCTCCGCTTTGTTTCTCTGTAGACCTTTATGTATCCTCCAGTTTGGCTGTTTTGCCAGGTGTGCAGACTCAATATTGCCCCTCCAGTTCCCAGTTTACCTTTTTGCCTTCTGTAGCTTCTACTTTCCCTTTCTCATTAACATATCAGACAGCAGAAGATCTTGTGTACTGAATCCTGAGGTATTAGCTGATGTGTTGTTGCTATGCTGAATGTAGCACTGTTTTGCAAGAAAGATTTTTAATAGCCAGCTCACTTAGTGTGAATTTCCAAGTGGAAGTAGGGCTGCACTGTAATAATTTATGAATAATCTGTGGTGACCTAGTTATTGGCTGTTTACTGCATAAATGTGCCTGTTTAGCCCCGTGGAAGGTCATGAGGAAAAATGACAAGAAGTTGCTCTGGACAGCAGCTTTCAAAGGGTTATCAAGTTATAGTTCAGAAACAAGGCTGGCTGTCAAGCTAGAAACACTAGTTTCTAGTGGAAAACACTTATTTCTTCAAGTGGAACTGTTTTTCTTGACCTGGAAGCCAGAAAAGCAAATTATTTTGGTCACCTTGGAGAGGAAAGAACCCTGCTCTTGGTAGGCAGGGCCCTTTGTTCAACAAACTGGACAGATGCACAGGACAGGCCTTTGATGGTACAGAAGACACTAAAATATCATCTAAACATTGTGTAAGATGCATGTTTGACTATCTATCTGACTGAAACTTCTTTTCCTCTCTTAAGTGTTAAGTGTTATTCAGTGTAAACCTGAATTTCCTCCTGGGCAGCACAGTAGGCTTTAAATATATCTAAGAGAAACAAATAGGAAATTATTTTCCTGGCATAGACATTGACTCTTGCAGCACAAGAGGAGTCTTTATTGTACATGATTATATATAACTATGTGCACATATGCTGTCAAGTCTCAGCAGAAGGAGGATCAAGGAATCACCTTCCAGGAAAGGCAGAGGATCCTCATTTGCTCTCTGAATGGGAGGCTACTCTAGAGCAGGCAGACAATCTGTCTCTAGAAGGTGCATATCAAATATGCTGAATCTTATGATATCTTTAGCTTTGAGTTGATGTCAACTGAAGTCATGGATTCCTATTGTGGAACCAGTCTTTAATTTTGCTCAGAGACACAAAAAGCATAATTTGGTTGGGTTTCAAACTAAAGAGAAAAAGGGGCTGAGAAAGAATGGAGTTGTACCGGTGGCTTGTACACAACTGGTTTGAGGTAATGCTGTTGTCAGTTCTTTCAAATGTGACACTTAAGTAACTTCACTACCAGAGCAGGTAAAGAATCTTGTAAAAGATTCCAGTGGATGTTTTGTTCTGTTTTTAAAGTCTTTGAATGACATGTAAACCTAATTTAACTTATTTCTTGAAAGATTTGTTCCAACTAATGTTGGAACAAATGGTTATGTTTTACCACAGAGATGTTTTTGTTGGGGGGGAATGACAGTGGTTCTGCTATCTCCTTGAAGGGTCTTTGCTTGAATTTTGGCAAGAACGTCATGAGGGCAATAGGCATCACCATTTGCTTTTAAAAAAGCATCACCTGTCATTGCTTGCTAGGCTTGTTCTTTGTTGTTAGAGCAAAGAACTTATACATAGCACTGTCAAGTGGGTAGCTGGACTTTTGCCAAGCTGTGCAGTGAAGGGATTCAGGCACAGCACAGATTGGGAGCTGAGCTTGCTCTCCCTACACAGCAGAGGAGCAGGCTCTGTGAGAGGCAGCTTGCTGATCCCTCTCGTGTACAGATTGTAGCAAACCCCTTTGTACTTTTGCAGCTGAAGAAGATCGGTGGAGGTGGCTTTGGGGAGATCTACGAGGCAATGGATTTGCTGACCCGTGAGAATGTGGCCTTGAAGGTGGAATCAGCTCAGCAGCCCAAGCAGGTTCTCAAGATGGAAGTGGCTGTCCTGAAAAAGCTGCAAGGTAAGGCAAAAGGCCATTTGGAAGTACTAAAAGTGCATGTTAACTATTAGAATCCAAAGTTGCAAATGGTTTTTATCGTTTTCTCCTCAGTTTCCATCTGTATCTGATGTCATGTTAAGTCATCTAGCTCAGAAAGTTGTTACATTCTGCAACTCAAGTGAGATCCAGCAGCAGGGACTATTTTGTCTGCCAGGATATAAGGACAGTGAGGAGACTTGGACTGAACTTTTGGTCCACTGGCCTGTGCAATCTAGTGATGTTGATTAGAAAATAAGGAATAGAGGGAGCAGCACCTGACTAGAAAATGAGGTTGCCTCCCAGAGGACATGGAGCACTGAAGCATGACAGAGTCTCCAAGTAAAATGGTTGACTAGTAGAGAAATGCAAAAAGTGGACAACAGGAGGTATAGGGAAACTGATTATTAACTAATTTTTCATGTACTTCACTATCCTGAAGGCAAAGTGTGAAGTGATGTGCCTGTTCTGAATGAGGGTGGAAAGGAGCTGTCTTGATGCAGTTGCTCCTGGCTGAACGAGGGGGCTTCTGCTGAAAAGATTGCTATGGAGGGATGTAAACAAGGAATTTCTAAATCTGCCTTTGAGGAACTGAGAACTGCTGTTGGCTGAAGGGCATTGTGCATGGATTTCCTTTTTAAGGCAAAGCCAGCTATTGCCAGATACAGTTTATGTGTTATAGTACAATATACATTTTTAGGGATGTTCCTTTCTGCAGAATTCCCACTTGGGCTGAGGAAACACCTGCTGAAGCAGTGAGTAGGATCCTTATCACCAGGGCTCATGCTTCAGAGATAATGTTGTGGCCCTATGAGTCTGTACCTTTGCCTTTGTACAAAATCTCCAGAGATTTAATTGAATTTGAGGGCGAGGCTGTTGCAGGCCTTGTGAAACGAGTTACTCAATGTTTGTGACAGATTGCCTCTAGGTAAAAGCCAGTGAATTATTTTTGAAGGTCACATAGTTTTCCACATTTCAGCTCTCCCAAGAGGAGGACTGATAAGGCCTCTTTTGAATACTCTGGATTGTAAAAGATGCAGCTGAGCTGTGTAAAGGAGAAATCAGCCCAGGTCATTGTGAGGACTTGTTGATCTGTGAAAGGCCTGGATGCACAAGCTCCCAGAGAGGAGCAGAGTGGGTGTCTGAGGTCTGGACACACTGCCACGAGGGCAAGTAAGGCTGTGATTGAGATTTTTTTTGTTTGGTTGTATACTTGAAACTGCTCTGAATTGAGTGAGGGTAGGACTGTGTGGAATGATGGATTTTAGAGTACCACAAACAGTGCTGTCATGCTGGCCAGTGCCAATAGGTGCTGCATCCAGGGCAGGGAATGCTTGAAAAGCATGAGCTGAAATCACTAAAGCAGATCAGAAGATGTGCAAGGTGTTGACTAATACTTGTGTTTATTTCTGGAAGATTGTTGAGAATACCAAATGCTTGAATAAACACCCACATTTGTGTACAGGATGATGCTGGTAACTGGGGAGAGGGAGTGATGGTATATGGAACTAGAAAAAGCCCCTTGGCAAAGCAGTTAGTAAATATTCAAGAAAAGGACAGAAAAGACAGAAGAAGCAGAATTGGCCGTGCATCAGCTATCCTGTGTAAGAATGACACATTACTGCAGCCATGTTCTTTACAAATCAAGCTGTTCTGTGAGGAATTTAGCTTTTTTTGGTTGAAGGTTAATCCCCAAATGCTTTACTGAAATAAATGATAAAGTTAAAATAAGAAATTGGGTTGAGAGCATGGGGAATCACGTATTGTGTGTGTTTTCACTATGAGTGTTGCAAAGAGGTGAGAAACATTTCAGGAAGGGAGATACTGCCTTTTCCCAACAGTTGGTGGGTAGAGTAAGTTTTTGGTATTGCCATAGGTGATACAATCAATTAATGGATTTCCAGATGAAAAGCAAGGGAACAATATTGTCTAAAATTCCTCTGTACTTTTCTGGTAGAATTGAATTTCTGTCCCTCTTAAACAGTGCAGCTTTATTGTTTCCTATTTAGGCGTCACACCAACCTTAAGGGACTAATGAATGAGCTGCTGCTCCTTCCAGAGCTTGTGATCAGAATCTTACAAGTTGCTGGAGTTCAGCAGAGTTTGGGATAGAGAAGGTTGGCCATTGGGCCATACTGCAGACCTGGTTTGGGCACAGCCTGACCTGTGAGAGCAGCAGCTCCTGGTTGGTGTGGACTGCAGGCTGTCGCCAGCAGTTAGGATTTCTGGGACAGTTTGTGGAATAGCCACATTTGTACCAAATACCCAGATTTAATCAGGGAACTCAGCTCCAGGTAGGTCCCTCACAATGTCTTTCCTGCACTAGTCAGGCAATGACTCTTCTAGAAGAGTCTCTGAACCTTCTGATAAACACCATGTGTAGTTTCCTGCTCTGAGGGTGATCATGTGCTGGAGAAGGTTACGCAGAGAGATGGTTGGAGAAACTGAAAACCCAGCTGGATGTGGGCATGGACAACCTGCTCTAGCTGTCTCTGCTTGAGCAGAGGCATGGACTGGATGATCTCAACAGGTCTCTTCCACCACAGATGGCTCTGAGATACCTGAGCTTGGCTGTGTGAGATCACTGCCATGTCAGCATCTCTCACCTGCTCTGTAGAGTCATTTTGTTCTGCTCATACTTGATTTGTATTTTCTGGATGTATAGTGAATTTTCTGCATCTGTTTAGATATTAATATGTTTCCCAAAGGCAAAATTCTTTCTTACTTGCAAGGATCATAAGTTGTCTTCTGACCAAACTTCCAAATCTGTTCACTGTCTTGGGTCTGTGAGACACCATCAATGGTGCCCTTTTGTGCTTTGGGTGAAACACAATTGAGAAGTGAGCTTATGGAGTTTCTTGTTCCAGCAGGTGACAAGCTGAAGCTCTCAGTTTCCTGTTGTTGCACCTGTACCCAAGAAGTTTTTAGCAGCATTTGTGTCTTTTTCTTGCCTTCCACAGACTTTATTAGTCAAAATCAAAACCTGGTCCCACAAAGTTGCTGTAGAATATTTCCTTGTCCAGGCTGGACTTGCAGGACTCAGGACATTCTGTCTGGTGCTACTCTATCTAATTTCTAATAAATTCCAATTTATAATCAATTCAGATCCAATTCTAATCAGGGCACCACAAGATAGCTTTTTATTTTAATCCTTGTGGAGCAGTATTTGCCTTACATTGTCTTGTTGCTCCTAGAGAAGCTAGTAGAGAATTACACTACTAGGGTTGAAAATCTTACCAATAACAAATTCTGAAACTGTTTCAGGGACAGTTAGGGCACATCTGCACAGTGAATTTGTGCATGAATACAGCTTCTCTGTCAGAATACCATTTTTGTGCCAAGCCCTCATTTTATTCCCTTAACCACTACTGTAAATCTATCTTTAAGTGAGGTGTGTGTGTGATTGTACCATTTGCACACAATTTTAACATAATGGGATTTTCTACTTTGCAGTCAAGCACTTTGAAACCAAGCCTAAGCTGCAGTGACAAAACTCTTCCTGCAGATTCTCTCCATCAGAGGAACTTGCTGGTGCAGTTGGACCTGCCAGTGTTTTGCTGTGTAGAGAAGCCTTTGGATCACATTAATTTAAAAGTAAATGGAAATAAGATCTGTATGGCTAAGTGAAGGAGTTACTTGAATATCCACAGAGCAAAAACAGCTTTGGCTGGATTTTCTGTGTTCCAGCCTCTGAAGCAATGTCTCTGTTAGTGAGCAGTGGGGAGCAGCAGTTGCTCATGCCTATACATCTCCAGCAGATATGGCTTGGGGATTTTACGCTATAAAATTCATGGATTTATTGGGATTTTGCATTGGGTTAGTTCTAATCTGCCCTCCTGTCTGAGGGTGCATTTGTTGGTTTGGCCTCTCATGTAGGGTTTGGGGACTAGGTATGCTCCTGAAATAGAAATTCATGGTCTGTTTGCTCAGAGAAAACCTTACATGACCCAAAGCCACTCTGGGAGCACCGACACGTGGTGGCTGGGATGATTTAAGGTAGTATGGGGGCTTTCTTTAAAAGCTCATTGCTTCTGTAAACCAGGACTCTGAGGCTCCTGGTTTTTTGAATCATGAGGAGAAAAAATGTGATGGTTCCTATCATTGAACATATGGAAGGGAGAGTACTATCACATCTGGATGAGCAGATGTTTTTCCATCTCCTCAATTATTTTCTAACCCTTTGAAATACAAATGGACAGTGATCTGCCTGCTCTCTCTGTGATTTTTTTCCCAATGCTGGATTTACTGTGGAGCAATATTCAGGTGGCAAAGGAGCATCAGTACTACCCAGACTCAGTTTCCTATCTATGAGATCTTTGAGGTTAATCAAAATGCCACATCTCTGTGAGACCAGCTCTGGCATAGCTTTTGAGGTGCTTGGCTTGGGCTGTCCCTGTCAGTGTGCCTTTCTGACAGAAACCTTAATTGCAGAACTTCTAAACCAGTATCCCTGATTAAATCCAGTGGGCTGCTGCAGAGAGAGATTTGGAAAGTATCTTAGGGGCCAAACCACGAATTGTGTTCTCTCTAGATGCTCAGCTGGGGCTGTGTGAGGCTCAGAAGCACATGCTTTGAATTCAAAGGCATTCTCCCTGTCCTTACCCACTTCTTGGTGGGTGTCTCTGGGAGCACCCTGGGGACCTGTGAGACCAAAGCAGTGCTGCACAAGGATCTGTCACAAGGAGTGCAGTTTGTATATCTTCTGGTCCATAGGCTCTCTAAATTTGGCCACAACATTCAGTCCCCTCGGCTGAGATCCTCTTTGGAGCAGCCTAGCAGGCTGTAATTTAAAATGGCCAGATTATTTTTGTGCTGAGCAATGTTTTCTGTTCATCTGCAGTGGCAGTGTTGCCCTGGTGTGAGGTTACAAGGCCCTGAGTATTTGCTTTTGATCTCCCTTGGCTGCCAGATATTGCTAAGCTCCCTTCAGTGTGTTGTTTTCTTTGTAAATGCCTTCTTTTCAGTGAAACCAGTTCCATTGTGTA